ACACAGCAACGAGTCTGGATCCGGGTAACGCGGCGGCGGCGGCGATCGCCCGGCGACGAATCCCAGCGTCCAATGGTCCATGGCCAACCATCGAATGTTTCCTCAGCGCGATGGAAGCTGGTGTTTCGCCGATTCGCAGTGTCCCCTTCAAGGTTCTAATGGAGGAGCTGTCGGTCTCCGCCTGCAATGCTCGCGACAGGTGTTGAGTTTTATAAATTGGGGGAATAAATTATGCAGATTGATCCTTCGGAGTTCTGCGTATTAGGAGAATATTCTATTTGGTGTGAAGACAAAGGTACAAAGGCGGATCTACATAAACTCTTGAAAGGACAAATTTTTCTAAAAGAGCAATTTTTCATAATTTTATCAGCAAAATCAACTATTTTCTCATTTATTTAACCGAATCCATCTTTTTTTTTTTATCGCATCAACGCCCTTGGCTAAAAAAATGTCAATTTGCAAGGTAGAGTTTCAAAAAATATAAGCGATTACTAGTCACATCTATTTAGCGGTTGCTAATCATAGGTTAATTAGGTATTTAAGTATACACAGAATTGATAGTCTTGTGATTAGTGACAACTAAATATACGGGATTAGTAGTTCGATATATTTTAAAAACTCTATTTTGTAAAGTCGACCTCTTGTTAGCTGGTCGTAATGATGTGACAAAGAAATACTAATTTTTCTAAATTAAATGGAAAAAAATAATTTTGCTAATAAAATTGTATTTGGAATTGCTTCCACATCTACAGTATTTGCACATTGCCCAAATGTATGTACTCACTCCTGTATCCAAAATCTTTATGTTTACTAAAAATTGGGAAAATGTAGCCTTGCAGATCAGTCCTGGGGCTTGGACTTTTGGGGGGCTATTTTTGTTTGGCGAGAAGACAAAAAGTAGGAATGCATTGAGCCCCTATTCTCGCCTAGATACATTGAGTTGGGAGTTTTATATGCTTTCCACGTTGGTACTTCTCAATACTTCGCATAATTGTATCTATTTAAATTTAATTTTATATTACGTAAAAGCTGAACTCTAGCGGGGATGATGCGATAAACCCCTTGAGCTAAGCGGTTTTGACATAAGCGCGTTATAAACTGAAAATACGGGGCCCATAAGTTCGCTCGCTGGTTTGGGATACTCTCAAAATCTAAAATATGGCTTGAAGATCTTTCTGGATTTGTTATACGATTTGAATCGAAATATACATCTGTATTACTTTCTGGTCAAAGCAATCTGACTTTAAGCTCATCTAAATAAGCTAAGTTTGATCAAATAAATGACTAATTTTGTCCATACAATTTTTATAACATTGTTATCATAAAAAGCTAAAAGCAGGTAGCTTAACTCAGTGGCGTCGCCAGAAATATTTTTTGCCCTGGGCGAAAAATAAAGATGGTCGGCAGTGAGGGACTTGAAGCGACGGAGGAGGGAGAGGAGCTTGGCGAGGGAGAGGAGGGAGACGCGGTAGAGGGAGGAGGGTTGGGGATTGTTGAGATAGAGGTCCTAGAAGAGGAGGGAGAGGAGGTTGGATCTGCGGGAGAGGGAGGTGAAGTGGCCGGAGAAGAAGAGCGAGGAGAGACGGGAGGGGGACGTGAAGTAGGGCAATTTCTTGCCCTGGGCAGCTGCCCAGGGCAAGACTGCCCTGGCTACGCCCATGGCTTAACTTATAAGCTGCATACAAAAAAAAAGTCTTTCCTACACACTAGACCAACTTCTAATGATAATTAAACCTAACCTAACGTGTCTCCGATTTTATCTCTACTTTCTTCCATCCAAATAATTTATTTATTTATAATCTTCTTTATAACCATCATCACTATCTTCTTCTGTATCACTTTCTTCCTTGACTATTTTCATTGCTGTTAAATCCCATTCTTTCTTTTTGAAATTATCGTTACCCTTTCTCTCCATCAATTACTTGTCTTTCTAAAATTCTCTTCAAAATTAACGTGTCTCATGACTCAGGCAATTACCTCCTTTTATATCACTTTCTTCCCCTCTTTCACTCCATTTACATTTTTTTTCTCCATTCTCATAGTACAATTTTCCTTTTTTTTTTTGTCAACTTTCAGTAATAAAAATTTAGAAAACTACAAAAGAAATACCCTCAAAATATTTTAAAATTATAAAACAAACACCCTAAACTTTTATAATTAACAAATACACAAAACTATTAAAAATTACATTAAAATCCAAACAAACACCCTAAACTTTTATAATTAACAAATACACAAAACTATTAAAAATTACATTAAAATCCAAGAAACTACAAAAAATAATTAACAAATACACAAAACTATTAAAAATTACATTAAAATCCAAGAAACTACAAAAAATCATTGAAAATTTTCAAACTTTAGAGGGGTAATTTGTAATGTACTAAACTTTAATATTTTTTTTTAATTTCAAATCTAATAGATTTTTAATTAGTTATGTTCTTTTGAAAAAAGTTATGGATATTATTGACCATGAAAAGTTTTTCCTAAATCTATACATTTAAAGAAAGTATGATACTTTTTTGTAAATTTTCTTTTATTTTTTAAGGTTGCTAGTAATTTTGTATATTCATTTTAGTGTCTATAGGTTAGAAATTCTCATGGTGTTTTTTATAATTATAAATATTAGGGTTTTTTTGTAATTTTTAAACTTATAGGTCTTTTCTATATATTGTAAATTGTTTATAAACTATTTATAATTCCTATAGTTTCAATTTACTAATGAGTTTAAAATTCTCAGAGTGTTTTTTGTAAAATTTGAATTTTGAGTATTTTTTGTAATTTTTAAAACTTTAAGGGTATTTTCTATAAATTATAAAGTATGCAGAGGATATTTGTAACTCCTATATTTTTAATGTACTATTAGGTTAGAAATTATCAAAATTTTTATAAATTTTATAGTTTTAAGGGTTTTATCTTGTAATTTGTAAAAAGTTTAGAGTTTTATATTTTTAGAGTTTTATCTTGAGGGTATTTTTTATAAGGTCAAAAAACTTTTAGGTGCTGACTAGTATATATTTTTTAGATTTCTCTACAAATTAAAATAAGTAAAATATTTGAATTATATCAAACATATCACATTTATCTAATAACATGTTAAGTCTCATTATGGATAGGATAAATTATTTAATTATAAATTCAAAGAAGATAGGAAAATTAGAATAGATTAGGATAACAATATAATATTTAAAAAAAATTAAGGGTAATATTGACCATGGAAAGATTTTCCCTAACTCGTACTAACTCGTACTTTTAAAAGGAGTATGATATATATGGTACGTACCCAGTTTGTTACAACTTAATTAACTGAAGTCATGATTTTTATAGGTGGTTTTATCAAAATATCACTCAATTTAATTAATTAACTCATTCATGGTGGCTTTTACTTGGAGTTGACATGCTCATTGCTCTACGGGATAGGCAATATTTAAGTGAGTAATCGTTAGATATATAATTCAATTTCCTGACAGAATCTCCTGTATCTTCCTAGCTAGACCATCCAAAGGCTCTCATTGATCCGGTGATGATTACAAATTGGAATCCATTTGAAGTATTAGATGTTTTAGATCACAGCATTACCTGCCTCTGAAAATGTCGACAAATTTTCTTTGAGAAAGAAAAATTCCTCTTCTTCGATCTTGCTATCTGGAGCTCCAAAAATATTACAAATGTATGTGCTCTTTTTTTTTTGAACCAAAAAAAACAGGGAGAGATTCCCTGTTCATATATATTAGATATGTATAGAACAAAAGGGATGGGGTAATTACAAGTAAAACCAGACAAAAAAGAGGATAATAAGAACCAATAGATGATATAACCAGTGGGGAGCGGACCTTGTCGTCACCCACCAAGTCAAATCAAAGATGGTTCCTATAGTCCCTGCTACACAACTAGAACTAGATATAGTGCTTTAGATAGATATTACAAAACAAGAACTACTGATTCTGTTGGGCCGATATCCACAAAATAACAAAAGGGGAGATGATGAAATTAGAAATTTTCCCCAACTCCATCATCCTTAGCAGCTTTGGCTAGCTCCTTCAAACCTAGACCGATTGCTGCTCTGTGCATGCTCGCTGCTCTTCTTCCTGAAGCAGCACCTGTCCATAACAAGGTAAAACGGGCAATATGAGCTGCTATGATCATGGGGGATGTAGATACACCATTAAAAATCTTATTATTTCTGCTAAACCAGATTCTCCAACAGCAACAGGGCAGGAGAACTCTCCATAGGCATCTGATACGGTAGTCACTAAACTGGTTATAGGATCCAGAGAGAAGAGCTGAGATATCTTGCGGCCAAATGTCAGAGGAGAGGTTGGGGGTGATCAGAAACCAAACTTCTCTCAGGACTGAACATTTGACAAATAGATGGTCATGGGTCTCGCTAGCAGAATTACATAAAGGACATGTATTGTCACCCGTCCACCCTTTTTTGGAGAGCGCATCTTTCGTTTGAAGCTTCTGATGGCTAAGGAGCCAAAGGAAAATTTTGACTTTGTGGGGAGTGGGAGATTTCCATATGAATTTGAATAAGTGAGATGTTATGCCCCCTAAGACAAGGAATCTGTAGTATGAGTTGACGGTGAACTCACTGGATTGATGGAGGGGCCAACTGATCTTATCATGTGCTTGAATGTCCGGAATCTTGGATAGAGCTAGAATGGAATGCAGGTGATTGATGTCTTCGCTAGTCACTGTGGAATGAGCTCTCCTGATGATGGGGTGCCATCTCCATACGTTATTAATGAATACTCCTTGGGAAAAGACTGAGCTGGAATGAGAGAAGGCGAGTTGAAAAATTCTTGGGTATAAGCTCCTGAGGGTATTGGCACCGAGCCACTTATCATGCCAGAATCTACAAGAAGTGCCATCCCCTATGGACCACTGAACCTGGCTAAAGAAAGAGTCATGAATACCAAAAAGGTCTTTGAACAAGTTGTC